TCCCTTTCCTCGCCCGGGACAGGGAATGGCTCCCGGGGCGGGTATTTGGGATCGGGTTTGAGCCACGGAGCCGCTTTTGGGGTTCCCGGTGCGTCGGGGAGGGCTCTTACATGGCCGTGGAAGGATCCGCGTGGTGTCCGGGCGGCCGAACCACGGCAAAGCCGTTCTGGGGACGGAGAAAAGGCCGAGGGTCAGAGCTGCTGCCACCGCCAGGGTGACACAGCCCGAGTGTGACACACAGAGCAAGGTCACACACACCCCAGGGTGACACTGCCCGAGTGTCACACACAGAGCAGTGTCACACTGCCAGGGTCACAGCCCGAGTGTCACACACAGAGCAGTGTCACACTGCCAGGGTCACAGCCCGAGTGTCACACACACCGCCAGGGTGACACTGCCCGAGTGTCACACACAGAGCAGTGTCACGCTGCCAGGGTCACAGCCCGAGTGTCCCACCCCCAGTGTCACAGCCCCAAGGTGACATACCCCGAGTGTCACACACCACACAGCCCCGGGACCCCCGCCCGTGGGTGACACAGCCCTGTGACCCCCGCCCGTGGGTGACACAGCCCCGGGACCCCCGGACATGGGGTGACACAGCCCCGGGACCCCCGCCCGTGGGTGACACAGCTCTGGGACCCCCGCCCGTGGGTGACACAGTCCCGGGACCCCCGCCCGTGGGTGACACAGCCCTGTGACCCCCCCATGCCAGCACCCACCTTCAGCTCCCTGGTGGCCACCTTGAAGGCCAGCTCGGTGACACTGCCGGCCGCCCAGCGGGCAGCGTTGGACGAGTGCAGCTCGTTCCAGATGGTGTCACTGTCCACCTGAGGGGGGACAGCGGTCACACAGGGCACGGGCACGGTCACCACGGCCTCACCCAGCGGGGGCTGCTGTCCTGTGCCAGCTCAAGGTGACATCGGGCCACCCCACCCTGTCCCAACCCAGCYCAGCCCCCTCCTTTACCTTTTTCTCTCTTTTTAACCCAACACCTCGGTTTGAGCAGAGCTGCAGAACTCAGAGTCTCTTCCGATGGGGGCCACGCGTGAGGCTCAGAGCCCCCCGAGCCCCGAGGGGGCGGCTGCAGCCCCCCGGGACGGGCGGAGCGGGGCGGGGAGGGGGAGGCAGAGCGGGGAAAGCAGAGCTGGAGCCCGGCACGGCCGGCAAGGAGAGGAGCAGAGCCAGAAGAGGCAGCAGGAAGGCACCGAGGGAGCCCCTTCCTGAAAGACAGACAGAGGACAGGGACAGGGACAGGGACAGGGACAGGGACAGGGACAGGGACAGGGACAGGGACAGGAGGAGAGGAGAAGAGAAGGCGGTGAATGCAGAGAAACCAGAGGGGAAAGCTGGAACGGACAGGCCTGGGAAGGGCTGGAGAGAAGGGACGAGCCGCTGTCCCCAGGTCACCGCTGCCCTC